CCCAGTATTCTATTCCTTTGATACCTACTTTTGTTAAACCCTCCTCCTATGGGGCAATTCCTTTTAAAATGTCCTGTTTGTTCACAATCATAGCATGTTTTTGGCCTGGCATCTAAAGCCTGTTGTACTGCAGCTGCCAAGACTTGCCCTTGTTCATTAATATCTCTACATAATTTAATATATGTGTTTAAATCTTCATGTCTCCATGGTCTAATAACCTCTCTGCAGCAACGATTTGCTTGGTCATAAGCCAGTTGTTTTATTAATGGCATTGCTTGTTCTGTATCCCCCAAAATTTTGGCAGCCGTTTGAATTAGCCTATCTACAAAGTCAGCATAAGGTTCATTAGCTCTCTGTATTACCTTAGATAGCTGACCTTGTAAATCTCCATGTCCTTGTAAAGTCTTCCATGCCCTAACTGCGTCTGCAGCAATTTGTGCATATATAGCAGGATCATATTCAATTTGTTGCCGTTGACCCTCATAAGGTCCTTTTCCTAACAACATGTCTAGATTTCTTTGAGGGTAACCGGCTGCTGCATTTCGCCTAGCTGTCTCTGCGCAAAATTCTTCATTGGCAACCTTCCATAACAAATATTGTCCTCCATTTAGTACAGATTTACACATGCTAGCCCATTCTGCTGGCGTCATGTCCAAGTTAGTAATGGACTCGACCATGCTTACCGTGAAGGGAGCTTGGGGACCATAGGTTGTTACAGCCTCCTTTAACTGCTTCACTGTTTTAAAATCTAAAGCACAGTGAATTCGCTACCCTCCTGCCTGTTCAAGTACAGGGCATGCTAATCTTTGAGGTCCTGTCTCAGGATCCCATTTATCAACTACGGGGTTTGAGGGCCACTCAGCTGTCTCCATCGGTGGGGCTGTTGGTTGAATTACACCCTCTTGTGGTAAAACGGAGTTACTAACAGCCTCCTGTTGTGGCCTGTTTCCTAACAACCCCTTTTCCTTTAAATTTTCTTCCTCTGTCTGACTAGCTCAAGAGACCTTCTCTTTTGCTTGATCTAAAATGTCTTTCTCCATGGTCTGAACCTCTAACAATTTACTTAACATCTTTTCGGTTTGTTTTTTACTAATTTCTAATCTACTATAAAGATAACGCAACCCAATAAGATAACACAAAACAAAACCGAAACTGAATGAAACAAAAACGGAATAAAAAATCGTTGTATCAATTTTCTCTTCCTCAGGGCCGACAAACTTCAAACCTTTAGTCAACCATTTTTTCCAGTTTGCCTGAGAAATTTCTAGGGATAGGCAGCTTGAAACAAAAACAAGATAAATCAAAACAATAACACATTGTTTTTTGAATTGGTCACCCATTCTTTCGCTCTTCCTCAGGGGCGAACAATTTCACTTACCTCTAAGCTTCAGAAGTTCCCCGCACGGGACGCCAAATGCCGCAGTCTGGCTGGGCACAAATGCCGCAGTCTGGCTGGGCACACAATCACGAGCCACCACACAGCTTGTAGATTCAAACAGCAACTCTTTATTCCCGAACTCACACCAGCCGTCTACAATCATGTTCTGGGGAAATCCACGTTCTCTGCCCAAATCCACTTTCTCTGGGCTTCTATCTCCAAAAAAATACTATCTAAATCCCGTGAGAACTCAAGGGGAACTCAGGCAGCAGGATACGCCCTATTCCCAGCAGGAATAATCTTAAACCTTAAACCTGGAACCTAAACTGGGAACGCCCTAAACAGGATTATCTTAAACCGGGAACACCCTAATCCGCCTTGGTCCTTGAGCAAGGTCACCTACATTCAATGTCACTGCAAATGTCAGCAACATGGGGTATGCTGGCAAGGAAATTGTCATACCTACTTGGCTAATGGCTCCCAGCAACTCCTGATGAAGGGCTTACACCTTGTGTGTGTAAAGACTCAGAACTGCCAGGTGCAGTGACACATGCCTGTAATCCCAGCAGCTCTGGAGGCTGAGGCAGGAGGATTATGAATTCAAAGCCAGCCTCAGCAACTTAGGGCTGTAAGCAACTTAGGGAAACCCTGTCTCTAAATAAAATATAAAAATAGTCGGGGGATATGACTTGGGGGTCAAACACCCTTGGGTTCAATCCTTGGTACCCAAAAAAAGAAAAAAGGATTCTCAGAACTCAACAATAAAATAACCATAGTGGCCCTCATAGCACCACTAGATACACTAATTAGAAAGTAGACAAGAGAGATAAAGAGAAGTTTCATTGAATCAATATACACATGAAAAGATGTTCAACATCATTAGACATTAGAAAAGTGCAAATTAAGACCATGATGAGGTACTATTGCAATCATATTTGAACAGCTAAAATTAAAACTATTGATAATGCCAAATACTGGTGAGAATGTGGAGAAATTAGATCACTACTACATTGCTAGTGGGAACACATAATAGCACAATCAACCTTGAAAATAGTTTGGCAGTTTCTTTTTTTTTTAAAGAGAGAGAGAGAATTGTTAATATTTATTTTTTCAGTTTTCGGGTGGACACAACATCTTTATTTTATTTTATGTGGTGCTGAGGATTGAACCCAGCGCCCCGAGCATGCCAGGCGAGCGCGCTACCGCTTGAGCCACCTCCCCAGCCCGTTTGGCAGTTTCTTTAAAAAAAAACTATAAACATATACTTACTATGCAACCCAGAAGTTGCTTTCCTGGGAGTGTATCCCAGAAAAGTGAAAACTATGTCCACATAAAAGCTTATATGCTGTCATTCATAGAACGTAATTTGTAATAGCTCCAAACTGAATTAACCAAGATGTCCCTCAGTAGATTTATGGCTAAACAAGTTGTGATATTTCCACACTATGGAATACTACTCAGCATTTAAAATAGGCTAATGATTCACTCAATAGGTGGATGCATCTCAAGGGCATTGTGGTGAGTGAAAAAGCCACTTTGAAAAGTTCACATACCACGTATGTAACATTCTAAAAATGACAAAATTATAGAGAGGGAAAAAAAGAGTAGCGGTTGTGAGGGCAGCGGGGCCAGGGAAGTTGGGTAACTCTCAAGGAGTAGCAAGGGTAAGGTCTTCATGAGGATGTAATAGTTCTGTTGATTTTAGTGGTGGTTACACAAATCTGTACACATGATAAAATAACATACAATCTATATGCATATATCTTAGTCAATTTGTTGAGTTTTATGTGGCAGAGTAAGTGGAGAAGACAGAAGCATTCGGGGAACCGGATAAAGGATAAACAGGACTTCTTACTACTGTCTTTGTAACTTCCTGTGAATCTAGTTATTTCAAAGTAAAATATTAACAATTCTATAATAACAGTAATGAATTTATGTTTGCATGGCTTAGGAATAACAGAATGGCATCTGGCATTTTGGTTGAATATTAAAAACAAAACAAAACTGGTTACATTCCAGAAATGGAAAAAAGCACTAAAACATAATTCTTTACATTAAGAACAAAGCTTTTGGATCCTCAAGTTGAAGGAAGACTGTTCTCTAGTTTCTCTGTGTTCATACCTTCATGGATGTAAATACATATTTCCAGATGCCACTATTCATCCTTGCTAATGTGGCCCTATGTGTTTCTGAAAACCCAGAGTGCACTGTCAAATCCAGCCACTTTCAGGTGTCTCTGTGAGGACAGCTTCCATCATCAGTTTGAATATGAAACAGGTACTTCTCAGGAAAAAAATTGAGACTATAAATGTAACACAAATACTTTGATTTCTCCAATATACTTACTTACCTTGCTTAATTATCCCAGAGGACATCTATATTGAAAGAGATATTCTCTATCTCATGAGAACTATGTCAAGGGTCTAATGTACCACAAAAATAAACCAAGTTCACTAAGTAGGACTATATGGGACTATCAGTGCTAAAAATTGTGGCCCTCATAGCACCACTAGTTACACTGCCTTTTAAAACACGAAGTGGGCCAGCGGAAGTGGTGACACATGCCTATAAATCCCAGTGACTCTGGAGACTGAGGCAGGAAGATCACAAGTTCAAAGCCAGCCTCAGCAACTTAGCAAGGCCCCAAGCAATTTAGAGAGACCCTCTCTCAAAAAAATTAAAAAAGGCCTGGGGATATGTGTCAGTGATGGAATGCTCCTGGATTCAATCCTTAGTTAAATCACTACCAAAAACAACAACAACAACAAAAATGCCATGTGGGCCAAAGAAAGTTGTATATGGTCAAAACAAACCAGCCTGGCTCTGGTAAAGAAAAAGCATAGGGACATCAATTTGTTCCTTTTATTTTATAAGAAGGTTATTAACCAAAAAGAAGACCTTTTTCATATCTAAATATACACATTGAACCATGGACTTCTTACAATTTATTCTTTTTTGGGAAAAGCAAAAAGAAATCTCGATTTTTTCCATAGCCCATTGTGACTCAGGATCATTCTTTGATCTAGTTGCTGATTTTTCTCCTGTAAGAGTGGGCGTGAGCCAAGTGAGGTGGTCCACACCCATAATTCCAGCACCTCAGGAGGCTGAGGCAGGAGGATCACAAGTTCAAAGCCAGCCTCAGCAAAGATGAGGCGCTAGGCAACTCAGTGAGACCCTGTCTCTAAATAAAATACAAAATAGGGATGTGGCTCAGTAGTCAAATGCCCCTGAATTCAATCCCCAATACCCAAAACAAAACAAGAGTGGGCATGAGGTGGAGATTTAAAGCTGGAAGGAAAAGCTGAAAAATAAGGGTCATTCATTTTTTAAGCACTATCCAGTGCCGTCCCCACCAAATCCTTCTGCGACTAGTTTCAGAATCCAAGGGAGATCTGGCAGCCAGGGGCTGTTCTCTATCAGTGACTCTGAGTGTAAAGAGAGGCAGGAGGAGAAGCAAGGAAAGAATAGGTGGAGGGAAGGGCTATGCCCAGAGGGCCTAAGAAAACTTAGAGGTGAACACACACTTTTATATTAAAGTCGTTAGCATCCAGCGTTCTGTAAACCATATTTCAGCACATTACCATCACGTCTTCCCTGATGATCTGGCTTTCTGTTTTTACAGGTGTTTGATGGGAGTGGATCGTTTTTGTCCTACATTAACACATCTGCTGACCCACTCTACGGCCCCCAAGGCCTAGCCCTAACTTCAGACGGCCATGTTGTGGTTGCAGACTCTGGAAATCACTGTTTCAAGGTCTATCGATACCTACAGTAACGGTGGCCAGCCAGATGTCCCCTCAAGACGGTCTTGCACTATAAACTGGAATGGATTTCTCCACCCGGGACCAGATTATGACTAGACTTTTCATGCTAGAAGGAATCTTTGATGAACTTTCCATGGTTATTTCTGAATGTAACAGTTTCCTTAAAAAACTGCTCATCCAATTTCTAGAATTCACCATTAGGGTTTAAAAAAAAAAAGTCTTCTACTGAATATACAAACTGCGAAGTTTTACACCTGTGAACTATGGCTTATAGGACAGGGATTTATGTAGTTAAATTAATTTTGCAAATCAAACAAACATTAAACAAAAACTAGCATATGTAAAAATATTTGTTAATCCTGTGAATGATAGCCTTTGAGCAGAGCTTCCAAAAACAAATTCTGTCGTCCTTATATACTTTATTTAACCCAGGTCAAAAGGCCTGCGGAACCTTCTAACCTCACTTTTACAGTATGTTTTTTATTTCTTTCTTTCCTTCTTTGGGGGGGTGGGGGAGCTGGTAATCGACAACTACATATTACTTACTTCAAAAAAAAAAAAAAAATTGAGGCTGTCTTGCAAAATCCTCCCAGCTCTGATTTGCAGACAACACTTGAGAGTCAATGCAGATTTCCCAGCCTTTCTGGGTTAGATCAAAGATCCTTTCTGTCTGTTCTTCTTACCTTCTCTTTCCTACTCACCTGGTATCAGAAAACAAAGTACATTTTCTGAGAAACCTGAAAATCTCTGATGCTTTGAAAAATCATCTTACAGAAGTAATACTACCTTTCAGTCAACGAATAGCCCCATTAACTCCAGATGAATATACTGGAACGTAATCAAGAAAAGGTCACGTTTTATCTGTGCCATGTTTTCACATGTGTCTTTCTTTCCTCTTCCACTTCATGAAAGCAAGAGCTTTACCTTCTGCAAAATGTCAGCACATGTAGTAGGACACCAGTATCCTAGGACAGAGAGCCATAAGCAGCCCTTTGGAGGACCGATGGTGTCAACCAAAGGCATGTGGATTGATTAATGATTTCCCCTTAGCGAGTGTTACCAAAGTTCTGTTATCTCGAGAGCATTACAGGTAAGAGCATGTTATGGTTATTTATCATTGTTCAATGAATAGTAGAGGTATCAAGGGACTATGTATACATGATTAGGGTAAGATAGAATGTATAATATAAATATATATATAGCTTTGGTGTATTGAAATAGGCAGCACTCTGAAAGACAGAAGCATTCTGTCCAGCCATTCTTCAGCACATTCCTTTACTAATGCAGCTTAAGCCGTCCTTGTGGAGCAAGCCCTAACACAGGTTTGATGTTTGCCATTTCCCGGGAATGATGGTGGTGGCTGATCATCTTGTGTTTTCAAAAGAGCAGAAAAATAAGAAAAACAGGTCAAAATAAAAGTTGAACTGGACTTACATCTGAACTAAGTATAAATGCATTTTGAGAAATGTTAAGAACAATTTAGTCAATCTTGTCATTGATACTGTAAAATAAGATGCAGTCTGTTTCCACTGTTTAATTTTCTACTCAGTTCTACCAAACAGGATGTCATGTTTGATGTTTTCAATAATGACTTTGGGATCTTTTTCATTAAAAGCACCTTAGAACTTGTACTATAAGAAAACATTTCCTGTATGTATTATTATATGAATGTGATGCTTATTGCTTATTAATTTAAAATTCAGCCATCGTCTATATAGGACTTTTTAAAATTTGGAAGGGAATCTAGCAACTTCCAGTTGCCCATTAAATTTATTATGCCCAGATCAGCTCTGAAAAAAAAAAAAAAAAGCTTTTTCAGAAAGAGAAACATTAAGGTTTAGTATTTTTTAATTTTTTTTTAATTTTTTAGTTTTTGAATTATCAAGTCTATGTGATGAAGTTATAAAATCCAATAAAATTTTTAGAATGTTAAACTAAGACATTGTTTGTTTCCTAATGCCAGTGAAATAAGTCTTTGATTTTTTTTTAAAATTTTTTTCTTGGTGCTGGAAATTGCAAATGTAAGCGCCAGTTCTACCACTGAGCTGCACCTGCAGCCCAAGTCTTTGAATTGAAATGTTCCTATTTACAGAGTCCCTTCTAGGTTCTAGGCACTCTTCTAGGCACTGGGAATAGACTAATAGATAAAACAAACAAAAACATCCCTGTCCCCTCAGAGTTTACATCCTGGGGAAAGGAATTTCATTTTGCCATTTACTATAAAATGTTCTGCCTAAAAGGGAGGCTAGACTCTTAATAGTTCCTGGACTATTTAAAAGAAAACCTTTTAAATTGGTTGTTAATTTTAGTTTATTTTCATAAAAGTATTTTCATAAGTGTAAATGGCTTCCTATTTAAATTCTATCACAGACTGTTGGGGTTTTTTGTTTGTTTGTTTGTTTCTCTGGCTTTGCAGTGCTGGGGACTGAACCAGGGCCTTGACATACTAGGTAAATGCTCTACCATTGAGCTACATCCCCAGCCCTAGACTATTGATTTTAAAACTAGTTTACCTACAGAGGGTTTTTTTTTTTTTCTTTTTCTTTTTTTTGAAGTATTTGTGAACTTAGAAATGAATTTAAAAATTAATCAGCCGCCATCATATCATATCAGGCCAAGTATCTAAATACATAGTTAATTTATTTCCATGTCAATTTTGGCACAAACTGGAATGGAATATAGATAGTTTGATTTGGACCTGTTCCACTGTCTCTTAACTAAACCTATACTATGGGCACTCCAGGAAACACTATATTTTTCCCCCAAAATATGTAATCATATATATTAAAATATAGATAACATTTCATACCTGGATACATATGTGCATTTACTGTATTTCTGGTGAGCATATTTGGGGGAGAAAGTGCTGCTGATAAGATACAAATAGATAAGATTTAAATGAAATTTTGTCACATTCTATGGAAAATGGTTTCTGGTAAACTGAGAAGGATATTAAAATAAGTGGCTTTTATTCTGGGCTACCATTATTATTTGGTTTCGCTTTGTCAAGTGTATAGAACCTGTCATACATTCATGATAAGTAGCACTGAGAAAGTACTCACTCAAAATTCCCCTGGGCACTTATGGCATAGTATTGCCAATTAGGATTTGAAGGTCAGTGACGATGCATTTTCCCCCAATACAGACCTCCCCTGCTGGACATGGGGATGGAGGGAGTTACTTGACCATCCTGAAACACATAAATAAAAAGCCTTTATGACTGTGTTTGCCATTTTTTTAATGGCATATAGTATTTTGGTGAAGTTTTAGACCCCATAATTAAACAAGTCTCCAGGTTTCCTTATGACTAGATTTGAGGCCAATTAATACCCCAGATCCATGCAACTATTGCACACTTGCTTCCACTACTAAATATACAGGGTATCCTAGAATGGAATTAACTGGAATAATAGTACCTTACTTAGTATCTATGGATCCTCATACTGAAGGGTCAACATAAATGCTTAGGTAATACCTACTGAATAAATTGGAGGAAACAGCAAGTCAACAGCAAATAATCTGCAGATCACTTCAAATGGGAAAAATCTTTTTGTACATTTGGATACTATGACATCCTCTCTATTCACCAGCTTCTGAAAAGGGAGGAGTGTTTTTAGTTGAATAATTTTAAAACAAGGCATTTCCAGGCAGGATAAAATTGAAGCTATTTGATGCAGACCTTATCTAATTTTGCTTTAACCGGAAGTCGTATAATACTGTTGCTTTCTGTAAATGTTGCAGGGTTTTAAACTTTACAATTATTTTTAATATTTTTGATATCTAGGAATCTAGCGTTGCCATAAAGGAAACTAAGTGCCCATTAAAGATTTATTTGGTATAAATACTTTTTTGTTTTGTTTTAAATGACAGTAAGCTACAAATCATGATGCTAATCTTAAAAACTTTCTAAAGATGAATTGTGTGGCAGTGATTGTGTGATCTGTTTGTGGAGAATGTATGAAAGCTATTAATATTCTAGAATAGGTTAATAAATTGGCTATGTTGTTCCAATGAATGTACAGCACTTCCATTAACTTTTGAAAGCAACACAGCCTTAAACTCAACTCAATGCTTTTGCTTTATGACATGGGGAATGTTCTGTCATCAAGAGTGTTTTTGGTTTTTTTTGCAGTGCTGGGGATCAAACCCAGGGCCTCGCGCATGGTAGTCAAGCGCTCTACCACTGAGCTACTCCCCAGCACAACAGTGTATTCTCGTAACAGAATTCTTTTGTATCATTCTCATCTCTATAGCCTTTCAATCCAAGGTATGAGTATGAAGGTTTTTTGCTTCCTTTGTTTTCTTTTTAGATTTTGTACATTCCATCTTTATAGGTCCGTTTCATATGTTTTGTGTATAGAACACTAAGTCTTGCGCTCTCTGACATTGATACTGATATATTCTTATCATTTGTTACTTTATGAATCAAAATGCTGACTGCCTATTTAAAGAATGAACGCTGTGCATCAAAGTGTTTGTATGTTCGTAGCTACATACGTACCACAGTATTTTGGATGCTTTAGTCTACAATAAAACTTTAAATTAATTCTGTCTTGAAACATAGGAGAAACAAGACTCGTGTATATCTTTACCATGCACAAAAAATCTCAAATCATTATAATAAAGCTTGTTTTCTCCATTTCTAGAGTGAATGTTTATTTATTTAACAAATTATTTCCCTGAGAGAAGGGGACTAAAGGAATATTCTAGAATACATGGAAGATGGCAATAATTCAAACTGTTTATATTAATGAGAAGAAGCTTAGTAAAATTTTTGTTGGTTATGTTGCCAACCATCTGTTAGCATTTAGGATGCATGTTAATCAAGAATTTGCAAAATCCTGACACACATGTCCAGCATATATATTTAGAAAGTTATAAAAGTGAAAATCATTGTCTTTATAATCCTTAAAGAACTCAAGATAACAGGAACGTCCACAGTCACGGCAGACAACATTTCTATAGACCAAAGGACTTGAGAGCGAACTCACTACAAACATTGTGTTTAGGGCCCAGAATTTAATCACATAGAGTTCATTACGATAAAACTTTCTATGTCATATCAAGCAACTGGCCATGCATTGCAAGCACTAGTCAAATCATCTAGAGAACACACTTCTGGTGCACCAGACTTTCAGCTAAGTGTAAGAGATACAAAGATGAATAATGAACATACCTGGACAGCCCCCTGGGACTTCAGTCTTTGCAGAAACCTGATGATAAATGTATAAATGTCACATCTTTTTAAAAAAGTTAGTTTTCACATCCTCAAAATGTTTCTTAAGGGCTGGAGATGTGGCTCAGTGGTGGAGCACTTGCATGGCATATGTGGGGCACTGGGTTCCATCCTCAGCACCATGTAGAAGTGAATGGAATGAAGGTATTGCATCCATCTACAGATAAATAAATAAATAAAATCTTAAATATAATCTCTATTAATAATGTCAAAGTTGTCATTTAAATTCCTTTATCTAGGGGCCGGTATCTTTTCCACAATTATGTGTGGTGTCCAGGCTTGGTGCTTACTCTTTCGTCTTCCTGTAAATGAATCTTACCTCCCTTTGTTGTTTGTAAGCAAGTTTCCAGCTTGTTTTGCATGTTTACATGTTTGTATACATTTTTCATACATTTCCAGATACATTTGTAGACTTTAATCATTAAGCCTCTGATTCATATTTACTGTGACAGAATGAACACTAAAATTCATCTAAGTTTGAGATTAAATTTAAGTATCCTTTGTGAACAATGAAGGATTTTTTGTTTTCTTGAGGGTTCAAAAACATTCAGAATTGATTGGAGCTCTGAAAGAGGAAACCTAAGTTAGAAGGAGAGATGAAACAACAGAAATTAGAAAAAGATCCCACATGACACCATTGACTACTGACTGTGAATATTAACATTATTGAATCCTACTTCTATTCTTCACTTATTTTTTTCTTTACCCACGGAGGTACCCTTACCATTGTGCCCCCTTGGAGTTTTTTAGACTCAGCAGCAGTGGGGGGTTCAGCATATTTCAGATGGCCCATTTGGGACACATTTCACATAAAGCCAAATACATCTCTCTGACGAGAAGAGTTCATTTAAGCTACAGGTTGCTACTGCCCAAATTAGGAGACAGGCAGGGCAAATAGACATTCAGTCCTCTATTCATCCTACTGGTTTTGTTGTTGTTGTTACCATGGTCGCTGAACAATTGTCTAAGCACTTATACACCAGATTTTCAGCTAAGTGTAAGGGATACAAAGATGAAAAATGAAGACTGTACCATCCAAAAGCTTACAGTCTGGTTGGTGAAACAGATCACATACTTACAATACTATAATCTGCTTTTTAAATATTTATAAAATATTTTAGCAATATTTGCTAATATATATCATTAGCCAATATTTATTGAGCAGAGTATGTTCAATATTTCAGAGGAAATAGCAGTAAGTAAGAGTCCCTGCTGGTAACGTAGCTCAGGGGTAGAATATTTGTCTAGCATGCATGTGGCCCTAGGTCCAATTCCTAGAACTCTAAAGGAAAAAAAGAAGTCCCTGTTCTCATGGAGCCTTATTCTACTGAGTCAATAAATGAATGTAAATGGGGCCCACTACATAATTTGTGGGGCCTAATGTAAAACATAATCGTGGGATCCATTGTTTAAAAAGCATGGAAAAGGCTTTTCCCTTTCTTCTGGTGTCTCTCTAACTGATCATGGTAGTTTTCTTTTGCATTTTAATGTCACACTCCCTTGGCATGGGGACACTTGCTATTTGAATGTAGTTTCACTGGCACTGGGTGCCACAACTTGCAACTCAGATGTGTCCCACACTCAAGCTCAATGAGTTGGAGAGAGGATGGGTTGTCCAGGGAAGAACAAATAGTTGAACATGGCAAGACCACAGAAAGCTCAAGAAGAGGCCAGGTGTGGTGGCACATGCCTGTAATCCTAGTGGCTCAGGAAGCTCAAGCAGTAGGATTTCAAGTTCAAAGCCAGCCTCAGCAACTTTGTGAAGCCCTAAGCAACTTAGTGAGACTCTTCTCTAAATAAAATATGAAAAAAAGGGCTGGGAATGTGGCTGAGTGCCCCTGAGTTCAATCCCCGGTACCAAAAAACAAGAAGAAAGCTCAAGAAGAAATGATGAGCAATGAGGCAATTTTACCATCATTCATTCAATATATATATCACCAGTTACTTCATATCTTTCTTATATCTCCTTTATTTTTTTAACTATCACAGTACCTACTCTAACCATATCATGACCAATACATGAGAAAGATAGGATATGTTCATTACATTTTTTCTAGTACATATTAAAACATTTATTACTTGGATACCCATTTACTATTTTCAAATTATGTCCTGAATCATATAAGGCGCTTTAAGAAAAACTGAATTAATGAAACTGCAGTTCAATGTACCCCTTCTCCTGCTTTCATAAGAAGCAACAAGGACTACAAATTCTTATTTTAGAGGTCATTAAGTCTTTAGTAAAATTGTTATGCTTTCTAATAATTCAAAAATCCATATAGATTTAAAAATACTTGAACTTTTGGCAAACATATATATTTTTTAGTGTTTTTCAGGAGAAAGGATCCAGGCATTTGCTCTGAATCTGCATCTACTACCATAAGGTACCATTATTTTTGATCCATTTGATTTTAAATTCATTGGATTTTTTTAAATATCTTTATTTATTTTTTATGTGGTGCTGAGGATGGAACTCAGTGCCTCACACTTGCAAGGCAAGCGTTCTACCCTGAGCTACAGCCTCAGCCCCAAACTTATTGGGTTTTACTTTTTTAAAAACCTAAGGGAAAAACAAGAATACAAACTGGTTTTTAATTTTACTTTTAGTTTTTTGACAGCACAGGGGTACTCAACCACTGAGCTACTTCACCAGCTCTTTTTGTTTCGAGATAGTCTCCCTGTGTTGCTCAGGCTAGCCCCAAACTTGCCGTCCTCCTGCCTCAGCCTCCAGAGTAGCTGGAATTGTAGGTGTGTGCCAACGCACTCCAAAATCGCCTCTTTTTTTAAGCCAAATTAAGGTCGGACTGCCACTGCAGAAAAATGCAAGTAAAAACAAAGACTCAAAACTTTCTCTCAAAAAAGAAGAAAAAAAGCCACACACAACACTCCCGGGCCCCGCCCTCCTCCTAGTCGGCCGCGCGGCGGAGCCGCCAGGGGTCGCTGTGCGCCGTGCGGAAGAGGGTCAATCGCCTCCCGGAACTTTCCCCTTCGCTGCTCCGCCCCCTGTGCTTGTTGGCGCCAAAAACAAACCTGCCCTCCCCTGACGCGCCCCGCCCCTCAGCCCGCGCGCCGGCCCTGCTACCCGCACCATGGTAAGAGCTGAGGCCACTGTTCTGGATCGCCTTTCTCCTCAGTGTCTGGGCTTCGGAGCCCGGGAAGACGCGGGATCCTTCTACCCAGACGGAGGCGCCCGTCAGGTCGACGCCGCGGCCCCCGCGCGCTCCCCGGCGGGCACCCGCCTGTGCCGGGGCGGGGCGGCCGGGTTGGGTAGAACGCTGGCGGCCTTGGCGAACGTGACCCGAGAATCCCGTCTACTCGGGGGTTTGTCCTACAGGCCGAGAGGCGCCACGGAATCGGTGGCCTGGACGCCTCCGGCTTCGGCCTGAACCGCGAAGGAAAGTGCGGGCGGGCGCGGTGGCGCCCGCCCCACGGGTCCCAAAGGCGCGCTCCCGCGTGCTCCCGAGGGCGCGGTGGCTGTGTGGCCCGGTGCCGCGCACACTCCCGATCTGCTTGAGATCCCAAAAGTACCCAGCGGGTCTTCCCTTCACCCCGGTTCACTCGTGAAAATCCCCCGGGTCTTAGCAAACGGCAGGGATCACGCTCTGTGCGTGGCCGCTGCGGGCCCGGGCGGGTGTCGCCTGTCAGTGCGGATCCGCGCCCGGGTCGTTGGGTTTCCCCTGTGAGCCGGGAGGGTTACCCGCCAGGAAGGTTCCAAACCAGCTTTCCCTGTGAGCTTCGTGTCCTCATTTTCATAAACCTTCAAAGTTTCGTGCGATTTTTTTTTTTCTGCTTTCTGGTGTTGGCAGAGAATTAACGTCTAATCAGATGAATCTTAAGATTTTAATATCTTAATTTAGTTAAGTGGCCGTTATTTTGCCGCACCAATGATGGACAAGGATCGAGTTGTAGGGTATTTGAAGATACTTGCCCAGCTGTAATTAAGTGATAACGGCTTCTTTGTGGTTTAACTAACAACCCAGGCACCTGGGCATAAAATGGACCCAGAAGCCACAGGAGCAGACTTAAAAGAAATCTGTGAACAGTGCTTTGTGTTATCACATTTCTCTTTGTAGAGTTGCTGGTCTAGTATAACCCACTACCGACCCCTGTGCAGCACAGACGCATCAACTTTGCCTTAATCTCTCTATCCATTATAAGTCACCTTCTAATATAAATAATTTAATGTGCTGTTCTTTTCAGATGCTTACTTCTGATCATGGAAAACCATGAAACAGAACTTTTTATAAATAGGTACTTGCTATTTTTTAAAAAATATATGATAAATAATTTGGTGTTATCTTGGTCAAAGATAAATTTTTGCCCTCTTTCCCCATTGTGAATTAATAACTCTTCCAATCTGGTTGAGTTTATTGAGTAAACAATTACAAGGCTGGGTACATTTTTTAAATTGGAGAAGTACAGCTCTGAGGAAAGCAGATAGCACCTATTTTTAAGTTGTTAAGAGATTTTTGCTAATTGATCAACAGGGTCCATTTCAGGAATTCTGTAAATCCTAATTTGAGAAGGCTACTGGGACACAGGTTTTTTTTAAGTGGTTTACAATATTTTGGTCAACTAGAAAGCAGCATAGTCCTCAGGCCAAGTTTTGAATCTCCTTCTTACTAATTTGAATGCATCTTTAAATTACACATCACTAGATTTTTTCCTAGTCCAAGTATTAAATGAGTCCTAATTGGAGGGAGAGGTTTCCTAACACAGGCATTAATATGGCATCCTTTTATAAAAGTCATTTTAATTCTGACCATGCTAACTCTCCTATTGCGTTAATAACAAAAATTATTTCGAGTCATAAAAGAGATTGATTCTGCCTGAAAACAATGGAAATGTATATACAGTTCATCCACTTTTCTTGAATAACTTATAGCTGTAGAGAACTTTTCTAAAACCATGTCCCAGTACATTCAGTTCTTACTGCCTGAGGGTGTGTGTGTGCCTGGGTTGTGTGTGTATATACACACACACAAGTGTACAAAGTGTACACACAGGTCCACAAGTGTACAAAGGCTTTCCAGGAGCTGTTTATAATGCCAAACTGCTAGGGACCCTTCCTATAACTTTGAGATCTGTTTTCTGCTCATGCACCCACAGACTAAAGTCCTAAAGAGATTTTTCTTGCTCCAACATAGCCTCTGATGTCCTTTAGATTCTGGGATAAGAAAAATAAGGTTCCCAAATCTGGGCACAGTTAAAATACCTAGAGAGAGCTTTTTAAATATGCATACCTGGGGCCCATCTCAAAGAGTGATTCAGTTCATACAGGATGTGCCTGTGCATCAGTATTTTTTTTGTGGTACTAGAGATTAAACCCAGGGCTTGGCATTTGGCTAGGCAAGTGCTACATCCCCAGCCCTGGGCATCAGTATTTTGAAAGCTGAGATGATCCCAATGTCTGGCAGTTTGAGACCCACTGGAAGGAACCAAGAAGTGAGCTGAAGAGCCTTCTAACTGGGTGTGAATTTCATGTTTGATTGATTCAGATACTGCAGGAAGCCAGTGTGAAGTGAGACTTATAAAAAATCTTGGACTCCAGCTCCTCAGCCCTGCGTTTAGTGAACAGATTTATCTGGTTTCCTGGAGCTTGCCTACCTGAGATTTGTAGGATTTCTCTTTGCAAGCAAGATAATAGTTATCCCAGAATTCCTTATTAACTCACTCTGCATCATATGTTGGGAATATTGTGGGTGTTGTGAGGTTTGGAAGCCTATACAGCCTTAAATGTTAGAGTTGGGGGCTTTAGATATGTCGAAATTCAGTGCTGGTCCTTACCTCTGTTCTCTAACCTGGTTTACAAAACACTGGGAAAGTGAAAGCGGTTCATGCTTTGAAGTTTTTCAGTCTGCTGAGAGAGACAAGTAAACACATCTCTTCAGTGTGGTAAATGATTTGATGAAAGTGAGTCCTGGGAACACATGCTTGGCCTGTGAGCTCAGGGAAATTCTGGACAGAATTGGGAGACATTTTGGAGTTTTTGATTTGGCAAGAGGAAAGGTGTTTTAGGTAAAGGAATTTTTTTTTTTTTTCAAAGGCACAGAAACGAGAGCATGCTTGGAGTAGAGAATTATAAGTGACTTTGGTATTACAACCCAAACTGATTGTCTCTCCATGTTGTTACGGTAAAACTTTAGGTGGGGAGTGACTATGAAAGGGGTAGGTTGGGGTCTGGTGATAAAGACCTTATATATCATACTAGGGGTTCTAGGATCTCTCTGATAGCTAGGAGCCACTAAAAGATTTTAAGCAAGGGAAAGGCATAGTCGGATTTTCTTTTTCACAATGTAGAATGTGACCTTAGAGGGTGAGACAATGTAATTAGGTGGCTGGAGGTAGATAATGAAAGCCGGAACTGAGGTAGTGATGTTAGGTATGAAGCAGGCAGGACAGGTTAGAGAAATACTTAAATGCCAAAATTAGCAGAACTTGGCCATGGTTGGATGTGGGGTAAGAGATGATGGCCCCTAGGATAACTGCTAATCCACTGGCATGGGTAACAAAGTAGTCTCTAACTTAAACTAGAATAACAGGTTTGGGAGTAGGTATGGGAAAGGAAGAATTCAGCGTGGACCACCTGAGTTTAAAGTCTTTCTGGCAGGCAGGTAAGTACATAAGATTGATGTAAAGTTTTGAGGTCTCAGTATTCGTGGTAAAACCATGAAAGAGATAAGATCAAAGAAGAGGTGTGAAGAGCTGAGGGCATCAATAGCCCAACACTAGGGGACTGCAGTATTTGAGAATAGATCAAGGAAAAAGATCAGATTATGTTTTACACTAAGTTTTTAAAAACTTAGTGTTTACTTTTTTACTTTTGTGCTTTAGTCAAAGAAGAAAGGATTGAGTGCAGAAGAAAAGAGAACCCGCATGATGGAAATATTTTTTGAGACAGTAAGTTGTTTTCATTAAAATTTGTAGTATTTTATGTAATTTTCACATTAAGTTTATTTTCACAGTATATTGTGTATTTTTACATTAATTAATTCACTGTTAGCCACTGCTGCTTTGTTAGAGATCCATACTGTCCAATTTCTTGAAAGATGGATAAAATTTTGCAAACATTTGTCTTCCCATGAACTACAGAGTATGGAAGAATCATGTCCCACTGTTGGTAGAGTCTCATTCACCAGAATTATCTTTCTGATACATATATTTGATTGTGTGTTCTTTCTGCCTGAAAGTAATTCATGTTTACTTAGTGATACTGAGGTGCCAATCACTGTTCCAAGCATTTATCAGAGATTATCTGATTTCTCCATATATCAACCCTATGAGGTATTGCTATCATCACTATTTTACAGATGAGGACTTTTGAGATGCAGAGTGTCTATAAGAAGCCTATCCTGGATCCCAAAAATAGAAGTGACAATACCAGTATTCAAACAAAGGAGATCATCTGATTTTAGAAGGAGTGCCTCTTTGTATTTATTTATCAATCTATCATATGTATTATATGATGCATATATGATCGTTCACAGTCCTCCCTAATTTGCTCCAGATGTTTATGCTTGCCATTAACAGGAAATATGTTTAAAATTTCAACTTTTAAGTAGCAGAGACAGAATTCAAACCCAGCCACCTGGCTCTAGAGCCTGTTCTTATTCTCTTCACCATGTTGCTGTACAGTGGCCTTTCTTTGCCTCCAGGTTCAAGTCCAAATAGGCCTTTTACCTTAATCTACATTAACTTCATGTGGCTTGGCAGAAACTTTAACCTACTGACCCCAACTACTGGCTATTTTCATCATATACAGACATGAAGATGGGGGAAAGTGTTCAAGCAGAATATTAAATTGATAAAATTCCTTTTCATTTTGATAATGTAGATTCTCAATAAAATGAGCAAAATATTCTGGGAATTTAAAAAGCATGTATTTCTTCTGTGAGTGTAACTTTTACTGTTTCTAAAAGTCATTTGCAATTCAGAATAGTGTATCATATTAATAATGATGATATCATTAAGAAGATAAATTGGTAAAGTTTGCATATGAAAATTATGACAATTATTTTGCTGAGATGAAATACTTTTCCTATAGTCTTAGAGCAAGAAAAATCGATTTAATTCCTACCAGACAGTGGAAAGCTGGGGAAAGTAGTCAGTGAAATTATTTTGTCCTTTGTAGTATTGTTAATTATCCCAAATATAAAAATTGGCTATTTCTGATTGAGAAATGTTTAACTTTCCCCCTCAATAACATTAAGATACTAAAGACTGATACTAATGAATATTAGCAGCTTAAAGAAATTTAGTTATCAGTGAGGTTTTGGGGAAAACTAGGAATTAATTCTGTTCATTGGTTTCATTTCATACATGCCTGTTCCTTTTCCACCTTACATCCTAGTTATTTGCTGCTCATTTATGTAGTTCATCAGTTTTTAACAGAATTAAAAAGTATAACAGACTTGAGAAAAGTAATGGAGACCGTTTCATTTATTGTCTCATGAACAGGATATGATATATCCAGGATCCAGATTGATGTCAAATGTTGACAAATATTAGTTACAAACCCTTCATCAGTTTGAAACAAAGCAACAATATGGTACACAGGGAAAAGCATGGATTCTAGAATTCAGATTCTGGAATCTTTATTCCAGTTCCATTGTTGGAATTGGCAAGTGAAAATTCCAACAAAATCAAATATGGCTGCACTAGCTTTAGTTACAGAATATGACTTTAGATGTGAATAGTAACCTCATTTTAGACTGATGTCAAGGAGAACTGCTCATGATGTAGAAAGTAAAAAAAAAAAAAAAAGTATATAAAAATATTGCAATATGATCACAGATATTAACAGTGGTAAGATGATAGGTGGATTTTGTTTTAAGTCTCTTTTCTCATTTACTTATAGCGAACATATATCACCTTTTGAATAAAATTAGAAAACCAATCAACAAAGCACCACATACTTTGGTGCCTCTAATCATAAGTGGTTCATTTGCAAAGGTTTAGAAATCTTTTTAAAACACAGTCTTCAGTAATCCTGACAGTTCATGAAGGGATAAGAACCTTTTTATCCCTTCATGAACCATTTTGTATGTTGAGGTACAAATGGGCTTCCAATAAACTTTTGTTGAATTTTTCTTAAAATTATCTCAGCAAAGACTTAAATGAATAGCTCTCCATTGGCACACTTATACCCAGAGAATTTTACATAAATCTATAAATAGAATGAGACAGACATATCATATATATATATATATATACATACACACACATATATATATATGGATCTGTTGCATATTTGAAGCTTCCAATGTAATAAAAAAATTCTTTGCCTGTTGCACTTAGGAAGAACATGGGCACAGGATAGCTGTGATTTTGAACTTGAACTTGGAATCTGTTTTACTTAATATTGGTATAACATTAAGAAAGTTCCTTGACTTCTCTGTTTCTCAGGTTCTTCATCTGTTAAAGAGAACAGATGCACCAACCTCACAGTGTTGGTATGAGAATTAAATGAAATAATTTATGTAAAACATTACAAACTCTGAGTCATAAATAATTAATCTAGTGTTAAACCATATTTATTCCATGGAATCTTACATGTAGTCTTTTTGGAGGGAAGGGGAACTAACTAGATCTATTATGTTCATTTCCTTTATCATCTGTGCTTAATGCTAGGGAGACTAAGAACTAAGACTCACTTGAGATTATTTGTTCAGTCCATTTGGGTTGTGAGACTCTTTGTATAAGCCCGTTTGTTTACCCAACAGTCTCATAAGGTTGGCCAGTGTGTCTGGGGCTCTCTGGTGACCACATATAAGCAGATCTCTCAATGAATTCATGTTCTTTTTCCAGGCACTATGAAGTATTTGCAAAGAGATCGAATGGATTTGTCTAGTGCATTAGAAACCTATAACCAATAATTTATTATATGTTCCCTAAGATTCTAAATTGTCACCTTTAATTCCCAATTCTAAATTGTCACCTTTAATTCTCAATTGTGCAAAATGGATTGATCTTATACTCTAATGAATTAGTATTCTCTTTTCACTAAATCTTAGGTGTAATGAGATGAAATTTTTTCAAACATTTTATTAAAAAAAGTTCAAACATATAACAAAAACAAAAGAATTTTACAGTGAATACACACATTTCTACTACTCAGATTCTACCATTAACATCTGACTTTACTCACTTTATCATGTATGTATTCATCTATCCACTTCTTTATTCATTCATCAATTTTTAAAATATACTTTAAAGGAATTCATATATAAATAGCCTGGGTACCAGGCCTTTACCAAATATGTGTTTTTTGAATATGTTCTTCTAGGTGGTATTTGTTTTTTCAATTTCTTAGCAATGTCCATTGGGATGGGCAGAAGTTTTTAATTTTTTTTAAGTTTTGTTTCCATCCAATTAAAGTTGCCTTTTCAAGTTTATTTTGGAAGAAATGAATCCCAGATTTCCATAACAATAATAATAGTATTTCTGTTATAATTACTGAATACTGTAGTCTTTTGAGACAGTTTTGTTTTATTATCCAAGTTCTTTTTACCACTTAAACCAAAGCTTATTACAAGTAGAAAAAAGTAGTCAACATTTTTTATGACCATCAGATTAAATATCCTACATGCTTATTTTCCCTCTGTGTTTTACTTTGCATATGGTGGGCATGCAACGTGTGTAGATGAATGATTGAGAGATGACTATGGATTGTATAATTTTCTATATTTAGGTGTAACTGCTTCATGAAACCTTAAATGTAAACAAATCTTGACAGTTGTCTGTTGTTTTGATTAGAACTGCTAAATCTGCAGAGTGTAATTTATGCTAAATAAGGCAATATTTTTTATTTGTTTTTCTAGTTCAGCAGGAAGTTGTTCTTTGTTTTGATCTCCACTTGTATGCTCAGAATTGTATGCTCAGGCTGAAGTCTATCTGTTTTAAGTTATATGGAGGGTATTGAAGGAGATAATCACAAAGTTTTTTATAGTTCTAAAATGCTTAATTCTATTGCACTCTTTGTTTTCATGCATACTTTTTAATACAATATTTTATGAATATAATTACATAAATGTATAGTAGAAAATAAATGTGTTTTTCATATTTTCTACTCCTTTTAAACAGAAAGATGTGTTTCAATTGAAAGACTTGGAGAAGATTGCTCCCAAAGAGAAAGGCATTAGTAAGTATTAAAGATATGCTGGGATACTTTGGGAAATATCAGTCATATTTTCTGCAATAATATTTCTTTTTATGAAAAACGAATTTCTAGAGATGAAGAATGTTTGTAAAAGTTCCTATGTAATGTCTGTTGGCCATCAGTTCTTGTGTTTGGATTATATGCTATAGAAGAATTAAAATGGAATACATGTATATACTCACACATGCATATACAATATACACCCTTATTTTTTAATGTAGTTAATTTCAAAAGAAATGAACATTGTTCTTATGTTCTAGTATTTGGTAAACGTGATTTTGTGTCTTTACATCATGTATTAGTTTCCTAGGGCTGCCCTAACAAATTCCTATACATATATTGGCTTAAAGCAGCAGTAGTTTATTTTCTCACAGTTCTGGGGGCCAGAAGTTTGAAATTAATGGGTGGGCAGTTCTGGTTCCTTTGGGAGGCTCCAAAGGAGAATCCATTTCTTTCTTCTTTTCCTAGCTTCTAATGATTGCTAACAGGATTCTAATCCCTGGCTCTGTCTTCACACAGCCTTATCCTTTGCATCTGTGTTTTTCTTTTCTTCTCTCTTTCATAAAAACATATGTCATATCTCCTTAACTTAATTTTTAATTACATCTACAAAGATCGTTTTCCCAAACAAGCTGATATTCACAGGTTCCAGGAGGTTAGGACTTTGAATGTATTTGGGGGCTAGGGGAACTACTACGTCCACTACACATGACATGTTTCTTTTTAAGCCTTTCTGATTATGTAAACTATGCATATGTAAACTATGCATGTTAGTTTATTTTAACAAATTTGGAACTATAAAAACTATAAGGAAGAAGGTGAAATTTTTTCATAATCCTATTCTGAGGTCACCACTGTTAACATTTGGATGTTTCTCTGTGTGTGTGTATATTTTTGTCCATCTCTCTGATAGGGAACCATGCTGTGTATGCAGTTTTGTGTTTGTGGGTTTTTGGGGGAGTTGGTATTGGGATTTGAACCTCAGGCCTCATGCTTGCTAGGCAAGTTCTCTACCACTGAGCTAAACCCTCAGCTATGTATTTTTATATAACATTTTATCATCTACATTTACATCACTTGTTTTAAAAATGATTTTTGACAACTCCATCTCCTAAAATTTCATTTTGTGATCATCCACAATACCATAATTTGGCTTAGATGGTCACTTATTGAACATTTAAATTGTTTCCAAATATTGCTGCTAGAAATAATATGTCATTAACATACAATATGCTCTGGACTGAATTATTTTCCCCCATTTTTTGTTCGTCTGTTTGATACTGGGGATTAAACTCAGGGGCATTTGACCATTGAGCCAATTCCCCAGCCCTTTTTTTGTATTTTATTTAGAGACAGGGTCTCACTGAGTTGCTTGGCACATACAATAGAAAATAGATATCTGTGTCCTTTTTTAGCCTTTTTAATATGTAATCTCACACTGCCTTCAGGGAAGGTAATTTAGTCAAATTTTCCACTGCTGTGTCTAAAACACCTAATAAGAACAATTGGAGGAAGAGAAGTTTATTTGGGGGCTCATAGCATCAAAGGTCTTAGTTCATAGATGACTGACTCCTTTTCTCCAGGCCTGAGATGAAGCAGAACATCATTGTGAAAGTGTGTGGTAGAGGAAAGCAGCTGGGCACATGCACCAAGAAGCAGAGAGAGAGAGATCTCTGTTCAACCAGAACAAAATATATACCCAAAGGCACATCCCCAAGGACTCAAGTCCTCTAGCCACACCCTACCTGCCTACAGTTACCACACAGTTAATCCCTGTCAGGGATTAATATGCACTGATTAGGTTAATGCTCTCATAATCCAATCATTTCACCTCTAAACTTTCTTGAATTGTCTCACACATGGGTGTGAGTTCTTTTTTATATATACATTTGTTTTATTTATTTTTATGTGGTGCTGAGGTTCTAATCCAGTGCCTCATACATTACTACAACTGAGCCACAATCCCAGCCCACACAAGAGCTTTTGAAGAATACCTAATATCTAAAGCATTACAGAAGCGTATATCAATTTATGTTCCCACTAATTTTTTTATTTTTTGCAATGCTGTACCCAGGGCCCTGTACCTGCTAAGCAAGCACTGTATACTGAACCTCACTCTCAACTCTCATTTCTTGAAACAGTTTTCATTTTTTGAATTCTTGGACATTTCAGTTTGTACTGCTTTAAAAATGGGGTTGAGGTTGCATGTTTTGTACATTTGGTATTGAGTTTATTTATTTATTAAATCTTTAATTTTTGGGTTTGTTTTTTAGGATCTCCCCCACTTTCTGTGCTGGTAGTAGTGATGGAACCCAGGGGTACTCTACCACTGAGCTACTTGCCCAGCACTTTTTATATTTTATTTTGAGACAGAGTCTGGCTAAGTTACTGAAACTGGCCACTAACATGCAATTTTTCTTCCTCAGCCTCACAAGTAGTTAGTATGCCACTGACCTAGCAAATCTTTAAATTTTTCAATAATTTTTATTATACTGGGGAATCTAAGAAAAATTAAAATGAGAACTAAAATATAGATAAATTTCTTGGTACAACAAAGTAAGAATTATTGCCTGGTGAGGTGACACACACCTGTAATCCTTGCTACTTGGGAGGCTAAGAAGAAGGGTAGCAAGTTTGCAAGTATAAGGATGGCCTAGGCAACTTCTTGAGACTCTGTCTCAAAAAAATAAAAAGGGCTAGGAATGTAGCTCAGAGGTAGAGTACTTGCCTGGCAATATGCAAGGCCCTGGGTTCAATCCCCACCACCTCAAAAAAATCAACACGTAAGGATTATTAATGGATTTCAGACACTTGTGATATTTGACTTTGTATCTTTACGTGGTATTTTTAAAACTTTTTCTGATCTTTAATCTTAACCTTAACTATAGCACCCAAATATCCTTTATTCCTTAATTTTTCATAATAGTTTTGTTTTAGTTTTCTTAGCAAAGGGTAATACATGTTAATTGTTGGAAGGGGGAAGAAATAAGCAAAAATAAGGAACTAAAAATCATGTGTTACCTATTATCCAAAGATAATCACTGTCAGATTAGTGCTTACGGTCCTTTATTTTTCTATGAAGACATTTTGAAAATATATTCATATCATTAAATATTCTTAAATAGGCTTTTGTAACAAATGATTGCATAGTAATTTTTAAAAATTCAGCTCTTGGACTGGTTTTTTTAAATTTTTGCTATTGAAAACAATGCTTCCATAAAGCTCCTTAAGCATACATCATTATTCTCTGTGGCTAATTTATAAAAAGCAAAATTTCTCCATAAAAGATATGCATAAAGCTGAAGTTTTAAATACATACTACCATATTTCTTCACCATGTTGAGAGTATCCGTTTCCTTAAATCCTTTATTTTTTGACATTTTTCATTTGTTAGTCAAGAAAGCATATATCAGTGCTTTATTTTGCATCTCTTCAAGTAGGGGTGGGGTCAAGCCAGGAACAGTGGTGCACGCCTGTAATCCCAACAGCTGAGGAGGCTGAGGAGAAATATCACAAATTCAAAGCCAGCCTTAGCAACTTAGTGACGCTTTAAGCAATTTGGTGAGCCCTATCTCAAAATAAAAAGGGCTGGGGATGTGGCTCAGTGGTTAACTGTCCCTGAATTCAATCCCCAGTACCAATAAAAAAGAGAATGGGGTTGGGGTTTTTTTACATATGTTGGCCATGAATATTTTATATATTCCTATCGATATACTGTTTTTTGATCTTTGTGTTATTTTTAAGAGATTTTTATTAACTATTTATGTTTAATATTTTTCAGATGTTTTCATATTTTTTTATTTTTTCAGATTTTTCAGTTATTTGCTTTTAATTTTATTAATAGTATTTCTTAATATAGTCTTTGAAAAATCTCTTTCTTAGCTGCTATGTCAGTAAAAGAAGTCCTTCAAAGCTTAGTTGATGATGGTATGGTTGACTGTGAGAGGATCGGAACTTCTAATTACTATTGGGCTTTTCCAAGTAAAGCTCTTCATGCAAGAAAACGTAAGTTGGAGATTCTGGAATCTCAGGTAAGCTGCCAGAATTAAAAATAATGGATTTAAAGCTAGTTTTAACTCTGTGCCTATTATACGCAAGGCCTTGGGTTCAGTCTTCAGCAGTGAAAAATAAATAATAGATTTGCTTTGTAACACAGAGATTTGTCTTAATCCTTTTTCATTAAGTGGTTTCCTTTAAATTTTTAGAATCCATTGTTTGGCTTAATGTATAAAGATAATCAACTTCTCTATTTTACTCCTGAACCATAGGGCTGGTAACCAGGCCTGGTGGTGCTCACCTGTAATCCCAGCTACTTAGGAGGCTGAGGCAAAATGATCACAAGTTTGAAACCGGCCTTAGCAACTGAGCAAGACTCTGTCTCAAAAAATAAAAAAAAAACTGGTGATGTAGCTTAGTGGTAGAGTACCCTGGGTCCAATCTCTGGTACCACAGAAAGTAAGCAAGCAAACAAAAAATTGCAATAAGGTCAGCAGTAGAGCACTTGCCTATCATATATGAGGTCCTGAGGTCCTCGATTCAGTCCCCAGGACTGAAAAACAAATAAAACACAATGCAATGACCTTAGAATGTTTTAACTTTCATTTTCCCACATCATGATATTATTTTCTATTATTTTAGTACACGAATAGTTTTTAATATGTTCATAGGTATATATACAATCACCACTACAATGTTCATCACTTCAAAAAGAAATCCTGGGGCTGGGGTTTAGGCTCAGTGGTAGAGTGCTCACCTAGCACTCTCGAGGCCTTGGGTTTGATCCTCAGCACCACATAAAAATAAATAAAATAAAGGCATTGTGTCCAACTACAACTAAAAAATAAATATTAAAAAAAAAAAGAAAGAAAGAAATCCTGGACCTTTAGCTTCAGCCTACCTCTCGCACTCAACCATAAGCAACCATTAATCTACTTTCTGTCTGTATAAATTCCTTTCTCTGGACATTTTATATAAATGGAATCATAATGTATAGTCATTCGTAACTGACTTCTTTCTCTAAGATTCATTCATGGTGTAATATGTATCAGTACTCCATTTTTGTTTGTTTGTTTTGTGGTGCTGGGGATTGAACCCAGGGCCTTGTGTATGCAAGGCAAGCACTCTACCAACTGAGCTATATCCCCAGTCCTCAGTACTCCATTTTTATGGCCAAATAGCACTTCATTATATGGAGATAACCACATTTTGCATTCAAGTCTATTGGTGGACATCTGGGTTGTTTCTACTTTTTGGCTATTCTTAATGATGATACAGCAGTAGCATTGCTAGATCATATGGTAACTCTGTTTAACTGCCAGACTGTTTTCTAAAGCAGCTGTACCATTTTATAGTCCCACCATCAGTGTATGAAGGTTCCAGTTTATCAGTATCCTCCCTTCCAAAATTTATTACCTGACTTTTTCATTCTGACTTCTATTGGGTATGAAGTAGTATCTCATTGTGGGTTTGTTTTTCATTTCCCTGATAATTAAGGATGTTGGACATCTTTTCATGTGCCTCTTGGCCATTTCTGTGTTCTCCTTGGAAAAATATTTATTTATTCATATCCTTGGCTCATATTTTAACTTTTTTTTTTTTTGGTACTGGGATTGAACCCAGGGGCATTCAACCACTGAGCCACATCCCCAGCCCTATTTTGTATTTTATTTAGAGGTAGGGTCTTAGTGAGTTGCTGAGTGCCTCAGCCTCTTGAGCTGCTGGGATTATAGCTGTGAGCCACTACACCCAGCTATCTTAACTCTTAAACATGATGAAATGTGATGTGGCACTTTTCTGTCCTACTAGGGAATAACATGCCTATTTATCAGTCAGCAATTTTTAAAAGTTATACAATTAGAAACTTTATACAGAATATTAATCAGCTTCCATTACTGTATGACATATCTGAGATAACTAACTTAGAAAAGGTTCGTTTTGGCTCATTGTTTAGGAGGTTCCAGTCAATGAGCAATTGGCCCATTGCTTTGGGCCTGTAGTAAAGAACACATCATGGCAAGAGCAGAGAGTGGAGTAAAACTTCTTATATCACAGGTAGGAGAGCAAAGAGAAAGAGAAGGACAGATCCCACAGTCCCCTTTGAGGGCATGCCTTCAGTGTCCTAACTTCTTTTCACTAGGCCCCACCTCTTAAAGGTTCTACCACCTCCTAATAAAGCCACCCTGGGGACCAAGCTTTTAACACAAGGGCTTTAGAGGACATTCAAAATCCAAACTATAACACAGGATAATTTACTTTTAAGTCTTTTCAAGTTCCCATAACTTACATGTTCTGTCCTTCTCTAAATCCAGCATATTGTTTAGGGCTGGCTCCCTGTTTTCATAAACATTGTTCTCTTCCTTACTAACAAAGCACCTTTTTGCTGTTGTTTTTTATTGTACTGGGGATTGAACTGAGGGGTACTCTACTACTGAGTTATATCCCCAGCCCTTGTTATTTTGAGACAGGATCTTACTGAGTTGCCCAAGTAGGGTGGAACTTGGTGATCCTCCTGCCTCAACTTGTATAGTAGCAGGGATTATAGTCATGCACCACAGCTCCCAGCTCAAAGCACTTGTTGAGGAAGCCATGTCCAAAAGATGTTCATCTTCCTAGATTCCCTTGTAGCTAAGTTTTGATAAATGAAATTTAAGTGGAAGAATAGATTTGAATTTCCTGGGAAACTTTCCTTTATCCTTATAAAGGCCAAGCTTCTTCCTTTTTTTTCTGTGATATGGTCATATTACAACCCAGAGTAACAAGCATAAGGCTGAAGACAATTCCCAAGGAATGGTATAGCCTAGATGAAAAGATCTGGGTTCTCTGTGGCACTTTGAAATACTGTATTAGACTTGGACTGCCTTACCTCTGTACTTACTACTTGAGCAAATTAAGTCTTCGTTTAATACAGTCTTGGATAAGTATTCTCTTATTTGTGGCTGTATTCTAAATGAATAGTTGCTTTGTAGACTTTCTTATAAATATGATTTAGATCTTATATTAGTTATCTGTTGCTGTGTAAAAAAAAAAAAAAAGAAAAACTGCATACCCCAGAGTGACTTCAAGAAACAAACATTGATGTTGTACCTTTTCTGTATATCTGAAATCCTGGGAAGATTTAGCTGGGTACCTCTGGCTGAAGGTCTTGCCTGAGGCTGTACTGTTGGCTAGGACTGCATTCTCATCTGGGAGAGAATATACTTCTAAGTTAAGTCCTGCTGTTACTGCATTTAGTTCTTGCAGGCTTTTGGACTCAGAATCTCAATTACAGATGTTTTGGCCAGAGCCCCCTCTCAGTTGCCTACCACGTTGGTTTTTCAGTAGGACAGCTAACAACATGGCAGCTGGCTTCCCTTAGAGCCAGTGCATGTGAGAGAGTCCAAGACAGAAGAAACAACAGATTTTTTTGTATTTTTTTTTTAATTGTAGATGGACACAATACCGTTATTTTACTTATTTATTTTTATATGGTGCTGAGAATCAAACCCAGTGCTGCTTCACATGTGCTAGGCAAGTGTTCTATTACTGGTTTTTTGTATCTTAATCTTGGAAGTGACATCCCATTGTTTTTACCTCATTGTATTCCTTAGAAATAAGTCATTAAATTTAGCTCCTACTTGAGAGATTATATATGGGCACAAATACCAGGAAGCAAGGATCATTTGGGTCATAGCATACTTACCACAGATTTTTAAATTCTTAATTTTTTACATGTATATGTCTCATCTTCTCAATTTTTTTTATTTTAAAAAATGCTTTATTGAGGAATAACTGGCATATAAAAACTGTTCATATTTAACATAATTTGATAAGCTTTGACATACATGTAAGTACATAAAACCATCACAATCAAAAAAATTGAACATAATCATAACATCTGAAAGTTTTTCATTCCCTTTGTATCTTAATTTTTTTTTTTAGTTGTAGATGGACACAATACCTTTATTTTGTTTTATTTTTTAAAATATCTTTTAAAAAAAAAATTTATTTTTTAGGTATAGATGGACACAACACAATGCCTTTATTTTTATGTGGTGCTGAGGATCGAACCCGGATCCCACCCGTGCTAGGGGAGCACTCTAATGCTGAGCCACAATCCCAGCCCCCCTTTATTTTATTTGTTTATTTTTTTTGTGGTGCCAGGGATCAAACCCAGTGCCTCATACATGCTAGGCAAGCACTCTACCACTGAGCCACAGCCCCGGCCCTTTTCATGACTTTTTTTTTTCCCAGTATGTTATTCAAGACTTATTCATGTTGCTAATATGTATTCATTCACTTTTATTTCTCAGTGGAATTTCATTGTATGAATATACAACAGTTTATCTATTGATAAACATTTGGGTATTAAGCTATTTTATTAGGTACATAAACATTTATAATTTTGTCCCCTTGATTTATTTATCCCTTTATCATTATGAAATTACCTTTTTTACCTTAGGCCATATTCTTTGTTCTGAAATCTACTGTCTGATTTTTAAGCAGTTGTCCCTTGGTGTTGACAGGAAATTGTTTTAGTAACCCAAGGCTACAAAAATCTGCTGAGGGCTGGGGATGTGTGCTCGCCTGGCACGCATGGGGCGCTGGGTTAGATCCTCAGCACCACATAAAAATGAAATAAAGATGTTGTGTCCACTGAAAACTAAAAAGTAAATATTAAAAAAAAAATCTGCTGATACTTAAGTCTCTTTTATAAAATGGTATAGTATCTTCATATGACTATACACATTCTTTTGTACACTTTGTCACGTCTAGGTTATGTACAATACCTAATGCAATGTAAATGTTGTTATACATAATGTTGGGACATAAATAGTTGTTATATTCTATTGTTTAGAGAACAGTGAGTAGGATTTTTAAATTCATACATGCCAGATGTTGTGGCACATACCTGTAATCCCGGCTGCTTGAGGCCTAAGACAAGAAGATCACAAATTTGAGACCAACCTGGGCAACGTAGCAAGATCCTATCTCAAAATTTAAAAAGGGTTTGGAATATAGCTGAGGGATAGAGTGCTTATCTAGCAAGTATGAG